ATTATATTATATTATATTATACCTAGAATAATTCAAATTTTCTAAACTTCAGTTTCAATTCTTTTCATTTATAATCCCTCACTCCTATTCAGTTCGTCTGTCTGTCATGTCAACTTCCATCAATATAAATATATCATATATCTCATACCCAATTAAAAACTGAGAAGAACAGTTTTCAGAGCATCAATTTATCTATTTACTGTTTTACTGCCATTTGGACAGCTGAAAATGTTGAATAAGGCAGCAGAAATAATTGCAAACTATATTTTCTATGTAAATACAAGCACTTGCTAGCTGAGTTGATTTGAGTCGAGTAGAGTTGAGTAGAGTAGAGGCTATGCTAAATTATAAAAATGCTTAAAATAATACCAAAAAAAGGCGTTGGGTTGGCGCTGCGAATCGCTCAATCTATGGCCTAAGGAAGCAACAAATTGCTGACTTGATGCACAGCAGTTGCTGCTGCTGCTGCTGCTGCTGTTGTGGCCTCAACTACTGCCCAGCCATGTCCATCATAATCAACGTCCATCATCAGCTGCTGCCGCGTGCTCTGTTGACACACCCACCAAGCGGCTACTGCACACGGCAACTGCCAATTCGGATGTTCTTGTTGCTCGCGCTGGCTACTTTTGGCATTGCCCGCCTCCAGCGCTGCCAGCCAGAGTCATTTTTCATCATCAGAGCCAGAGCCAGAGCCACAGCCAGCCAGGCAGAGCCAGAGCCAGAGCCAGAGAGGAGCTGATCCAGAGCCATCTTCGAACTGTTGGCTACCAGTTTTTGTTTTCTTGTTGTTTTCCTCTCTTTTCTTGGCTGCCAAGGGACTACTAGGCAGTTGGCTCTTGCATAGGCGCCCATGTACTAGTATTCGCATATCTGATATTAGAATCTCAATTAGTTTTCCACTGTCTTTATGCGTATGCTCCTGCATGTGGGGGCATTGTAATTTGCTTTTGGGGCAGGTTTTCAGTTTTAACAACGCAGATGCTACAAATACTGAAAAAAAAAAAAAAACGTTTCTTGAAAGGCGTCACACTCAATGTAATAATCAAAACACGTTCAACTATTTACGGCATTACAATATTAAAAAACAAAATTAATGCAAGCTCCAACGACAAACGGCATTTGAATAAATTAGTGTAATAGACACATTAAACAACAGCAACAACAACAGCAACAAATAGTTGTATCTAGGAAATATCAAAAAACTGGTAGCTGCCCGAATAGTAAAAGCCCCATAGTTGCAATTATAGCAAGAAATGCATATGTATACATACGTATGTACATATGTATGTGTATATGTGTGTATATATATTTGATTAATAAGAAAACAAGTAAAAGGCTTGCTATCGGGCGCAACTGACTTCAGCATACTCGTTCAGCAGCAGCAAACAAATTTATTTAAAAAATTTAATATTTTTATAGGTTAAAAACGTATTTTAGAATTTCAAAGATTTAAAAAAATATTTCGAAATTTTTTAAAATTCCTTCAATTTTAAAGATTTCAAAATTTCAATATTCAAATAAAATAATATATAAAAATTTAATATATTCAAAAATTCTTTGCATTCAAAATAGAAAAATTAAAATTAAAATATATATGAA